GCTGACAGACCCTGACCAGTCACTTGGGGGCTGGTGGAATATCAAACAGTTCCGTCCCTTCTGCCTTTCCCTAAAGGAGATGATCAAGTCATGCCTTCTCTCCCCATCTGCTATTCCTCACAAATCTGTGGGAAAGGAGCATCTGCCAAATGAAGTCATCACCGACAGAGAGATTCAAGAGCTACTACAGGAAAGTACAGATAGAAGCAGATCTACTGCACAAATTGCATTTCCTGAGAAAAACAAGTGACAGAGACTTCTTGTTTCAGGATTAAGAGAAATTTCCCAGTGATGAACCAAGTTGGAATTTCCTTTCAGAAAGATGTTATAGAAAAGTAGGAGAAAAAAAAAACAAAAAAGGCAAAAATGAAAAGAAGCTTGAACTGGATCATCTAAAAACTAAACAGAGCTCTGCGTACCCTGTGAATGAAGAACCAGACTACACAACAATAAAAATATACCAACAGTCCCATATACAGAGATCAGCTTGGCTTCAGACCTTCAAAATATAAGAGCAAATAAATACAAATATCACAAGGAACACTCAGAAGTAAAGCATTCTCTATTTTAGTCTTCAGTGCTGTTCAAGGATATTTTTAAAATTCACCTGAATTAATAATAATAATTACAAGCCTAAAATAAGCCACCAAAAACCCCTTGACATTTCACATCAACTGTAATATTGTATTTACATAGTAAACAGCATCATCATTAGCATTTCTGCAGTAATACATGTTCCCCTGTGAATGAGCCTTTAAGTAAATGTGTGCCATGGTTGAGAAAAATTAATTTTTCCAAACCTTGAGCACAGTACAAATGACTAGTCATGAGAGTGGATCATGCAAATACAAGAAACAACTGTACTAAGACCACTGTGGTTCTTGGCAGCTTAATTTTAAACTCCTCTCTGTACCACTTTTGACAGCTGTTCAACAGCTGATTAGCTGAGTGCACATAGAAACCACCTTCACTGATGAGGTGCATTTGAGGTTTTATTCAGGATCACAATGATGTGGAGCAATACCTGTGCTGAAATACTGCCTTTGTCTCCTAATGGATTTCTCTGTTGAGCAGAAAACACCAGAATAAACCACAGGGATTCGTTTATACGACTGGCTTAGCAGCATGCAAGCCACTTTGCAGCTCACATCACACATTAACGGACAGAAGAGGAAAGATAGAGTTCATAAACAGCTCCTGAGCTGCTCCTCCGAGGTGTGAATGACAGAGCTCCTGCAGCAGAGCCTGTACCACTACAGAGCATGGCAAAGACCCCATTTAAACATCCTTTGCCATCAGGCTCATCAGAGAAGCTGCAAATAAATTAAACCACTATCTCATGTTCTTGGTTCAGATACTTCCTCCTCCACCCCACCTATATTTACCATGCTGACTTATAAATACGGGCTCACACAATTCTAAGGCGCATTGCTGAATATTGGAGATAGCCCGGAAACGGCTGGAAGGGGTGGGTATTGCACTGGCTTTGGCCCAGAGGTGATGTTGATTTGTAATCCTATCAATGCACTGCTCCAAAAGCCTGGAATTCCACTTATAAGGTTCTCATAGAAAATAGAGTATGAGGGTTCCTCTCCTTTGCCCAAACGATGGGCACAGAGCTATCTTTTATATAGGAAACCATCATTTCCTTGCTAGAACCACCAAATTGTAACTGAGAGCATAAGGCTGGACAGGCATTTTGTAATCAGAGCTGACAGATGCAGAGCTAACTGCCTTTTGTGAATCAAAAGAAAATAATTACTAGAGTGAGGGAGGGAAATATGACTCCGTTACCGCTGAAATTATTCTATCTCCCTTTTTAGCCACTTAATACCCAAGACTTAATGACTTCAATAACCAGCAGTTTTTCCAGATGGTCAGAAGCGAAAAAGGTTATAAAAGACCGGAAAAATACCAATAGAAGTTAGGATACTGAAGACAAATACTCCTCAAAAAATTAAAGTAATTGCTTAATGAGTAGATACATTAATGCTATCATTGTCTGCCACAAACTCCTACATAATATGATTCTTTTCTTCATTCCTCCCCTAATTTCTTTCTAGCACTGTACATAAACCCAAATCAAGAAAAGTTTCTGTCCAATTATTTTAATTTATTCATCAATTTACTCTAATTTAGTCATCAATATGATTACAGGAAGAGAAACCCCCTAGTGACAAAGGAGCACAAGTATCTCCAGAACAGTCCCAAAGAGTCCCAGGTAGCTACACAAAATAGTTTTATTGACAATATTAATAACTATATGAAACAAGGTAAGAAAAATATCGCATAAAACTCCAAAACTACTTTACAGGATACAAATCTAGTTTGTGAAGCTCTATTTCTATTTTTTTAATAACCTTTAAAAATGTCCTAGCAATGAGATACTCATCTCAAGATTTAAAATTAATTTTAAAAAGACAAACAAAGCCCCAAAACAATGACAGGCATCAAGCATTTCTGAGACAAATTTTGCTTACAATGAAGTGAGGCTCTCAATGCATCTGGAAATGAAATCATGGATTTGACAACTAGAGGAACACAGCTCCAGAGCAGAGTCCAACATCCATTAACTAATTGCTAATGTGGCCCTACATTTTGACAGACATGGTAACTAACAGTAGAGATATTTAATTTATCACCCCATTTGTACAAATTTTTGTTTGGGGTTTTCTTTATTTCACTGGTTGCCTAAACCAAACAGATCCTGCTTGCGGTAGGTTCTAAACACAGGTAAGGGAAGGTTCATCTCTTTCATTTCACAGGTTAACTCCTCCTGGTTGTCCCTGCACTCCAAGCTCTGGCATAGCTGATGGATGCCCTGGATCACACAGCACTCTGTTAAAGGCAAACACAAGCCTGGGAGCATTTCCACCTGCCCTCTGGCATTTCCTGTATGTACTTTCCACCTATTCTGCAGATTAGGAGGACTTTTCCTCTGTTTGTGGAGTATCTAGCTGAATGGAGTGTTTGGGGCTTTAAGTAATGCTAAAGGTCTGCAACATGCAAAGCCTTTCAAACTCTGTATATCCTGCAAACTCTGTATGATCCTTTTCCCCTTCTTTTTCAAAGAGAACCAGTATTAAACTGGAAAACAGCTTGCTACCTAATGTACATAATTACTGTCCAGTGTGAAGGTGAAAGAACCCAGTGTAGCTAACACAAGAAACCATAAGTATTTTTATTATACAAACACTTCTGAAGATATTTAATCTAAGCCATCTATTTAAATCCTAAATTAGGGGAACCCCACACTATGATAAATTAAGAAAGGAGAATATGAAGTGCCAGCAAAATATAACTAATATTCCCATCATAAAACTAATCAGGCAACTGAAAACTAATTCAACCTGCAGCAAGATTCAGATTTCAAGTACAAGAACAGTGCAGAATAATATCACAGTCAAAATAGGTCAGAATTTTTCAACATATTTGATATATCAAGGTATTAGGATTCCTTACCCTTTTTTCTTTTCTTTTTAAACAGAACCAGATCCAAGTTTATTTACAAACTGCTATTCACAGACTGAAAGCAAATATTGTGATGCCTTCTTTCCAGCATCTCCCACAACTGGGGATGAGATCTGCATTGCACTTTAAATACACAAATGCAAGAGACTACAATGACAATTCACAACAAAGCAGTAACTTGTGATCCTTTTATTCACAGTATAAGTTGAAATCATTCCCAATAAATCAGTAACAGTTTTGTTACCAAGTTCTGAAGGCAAATTTGAACCCTGCTCCTTTGGGACAATCTCATCATGCAAATGAACATATAGGAGGCCTCTCCCAGGCAATGAGACACTTGACTACCTTCAGTTTGGCAACTGGAGCATGTTATCCGATGTGAAAGAACCCCAGATAGTAAGAGTTCAGCACAAAAGGCTGGCTATTTATACTTAAGCTGATAGACCAAGTTGATCACAAATTTCTCCAATAAAATGTTCCACCTATCTTAGCTCCTTCTTGGCCTATAAAATATCTTAAAAAGAGATTCTGGCACGTAAAAGAAAGAAGACAAACACTGTACAAGCATCTTACAAAGAAATGGAAGAAGTTACCTTAAGATTCTATAAATTAAATTTAAAAAAATAATAATCCTTAGAATCACTGGCAGTAAGACACAGTAGGAACTGAAGTGAAGCAATATAGCTGCTATATAGCTGGCACTGTGGTGCTCATTCAGAGCCAAAGCAGACATTCAGCATAACGAATCCTTACCACACCAGCAAGGTTTTGTCCTGCAGGGAGCAGATGCAGCTCTCATAGAACCTCTGTTACACAACTGCAATGATACACAACAGGTTAATGCCAGCAGCACTGCTTGGTACATCACCTGTGCCCCTCAGTTCCCCAAGTACTAACAGCAGCCATTAACATCCTCTCTAAGGAGTCCACAGTTACAACCTGCAAAAGCTGTGGTGCAGGATGAACTCACAACAGTGAGAAGACCACATGTTTTTTCGTACTGTTTCCTTCTTACAGACAGGTACACTGTATTCATAGCACGTCAGCTATGGAGATTGAAGGAAAACAGTATTTGTTGAGGTGCCAAGTTGCAAATTGCTTTGCATATTCATTCCAACACCTGGGATGCAGCTGCAAATCTATTCAGAATCTCCTCAATGCAGTTTCTTCCATCAGTGTGATGGCTACTGGACTGCAACCCATTTTGCCCCCACTGCCAGTTTATTCATTATGTACAGGCATTATTACACTGATAGAATTGGTCACAGTAGCACATCTTGTTCTCTAACAAACCAACAACCACTAGATAAGGTCCAGGCTCCAAAGTGCTGCATGCAAGGAACAAAATTCCTACGAGTATACTAACATGGCAACAGGAGGAAAAATAGTGTAGCAAACAGAAATAACCAAGAAATAAAATAGATTTAGAGAGCCTTCTTTATAAATCACGTGTGTGACCTGTAACCCAGCTGAATGAAAGCTTTCCCTCCTATTAGTAAAAGGTTTGTAATACAAAAAAGTTTTATAATATGAACAAGAACCATATTCCTCAACTACCGCCAAATTTGAGTCCCAAGAGGCAACTTGACATTAATCGTCTGTTCAACACTGTATGTGTTTCAGACCATCTCTTGCTAGTCTTTCCACTTTTGCTTTTCCTGTGTTTTGCATTCCTAATATTGTGGTCTTCCACAAAAGAATACCTTTTTTCTTTTTTGGATATTATCACTTGTATAGCTGACTTGCTACTAAATGGCTAAAGAAAAGTTTAAGGATTTTTCTGGTACCTGGTATCTCTCTTTGCCTTTATTTGCAGGGGCAGTGATAACAACAACAGGTTGATCTCTCAGAAAGTCTTAAAATGATAGCTCACTCCTCAAACAAAACAAATTTCATTAAAACGTTAACCTTAAAAGCTACTGAAACCGAGACTATAATTACAGATCTGGGCACGACTGACTAAGTTGTGGAAAGTGAAACTGACCACACAAAACTACAATAAACCTGGAGGACAAAAAGTACAAATATGTTGGTTATTAAATTTTAAAAAGTGATAGATGAGGAGAAACTAAAAAATTATATACTCTAAAAAATTTAAAAATCCCCTTATGGTCAGTAGTTAAAACTAGGGACAAATAGCATTTCTTTTTAGAAAAAAGCTTTTCAAAACTTACTCTGACCTTCGAGTCATCAATTTGTGAAGTAATTCTTCAGCAAGAGTAGCAGCAATGCACAATCCTAAGTAGTTTTAAGATACCTAAAAGAGTTACAAGAGCATTTAAACAACAGCATGCTAAATAAAGCAACTGAGAAGATTCACATAGGTTTCTTCTAGTCCAATGAAGCTGTCTTAGGTTTCAGGCAAGTTTTGTCACAGCTTTGTACAGAAGTAACTGGAAGTACAAAGTCCTTCCTACCGAAGTGGGATGCATAACCACAGTCCTGAAGACTTGCTAATCATTAATTAAATTAGTAAGAAGGAACGCTTGGACAGGCCTACAAATTAGTTTTAACACACTATAAATATATATAAGCGATGGATTTAGAAGGACTGTATTATGAGGAGGCCTTTTTGCTAGCATTTTCAGGTCTAATAGAATTATCACATTAAAAAGAGGTATAAAGTTTCCAGACAAAATATAAACAGGGACTAGAATCTTTTAACTGATCTTTCTGAGATGCAAGACTCAGCACTTTCTTCCTAATTCTGAGATGGTTGCATAGCTCTCCATAGCAACCCAGGATACATGAGCCCTGCAGACACTGGCAAGAACCTAAGAGGAACAGCACATAAGGCTGAAAAAGCTTCTAAAGCAGAAGAAAGCTTCAAGATGGGGTAAAATTTGTGTCTTGGCAATCGGGTCAATAAAGGGATAGAGAGTAATTTCTGATTTACTATGCTCCTCCACTGACAAAGTGAAAAAGCAATAGAAGGACAGGAACTACACTAGAAAAACCTACAGTCCAGTAGATAAATGAGACTAAGTCTGGTATAATCCGAGTTTAGATATGCCACAACACAATGCCTAACTGAAACTCTCGAACAAGTGTTTAGAGCTTGGTGCCTGCACACTTCACTCCTCGCGTTATGCTTGCAGATCCTTCGGTTCCGGTTTTATTACCAGCCTGTTTCACTCCCGCCCTTACGCTTTTATTTTATTTATCCATCTCGTAAGCACAACACAAGTGCCCAAAGCCGCCCGAGGCACAGCCCTGTTGGTACAGGCTCCCTTCGGAGACACCAGGGCCATCGTGGCACAGAGCCCACCCGCGCCGGCCACGGGCACCTCCTGCCTTTGTTCCTCAAGGGCGCTCGGCGGCTGCCGGCACACGGCAGCGGCTCGCACAGCGCTGCCGGGAGCGGTCCGCACCGCGACTTCATTCGCCAGCACACCGCGCCGCTCGGAGCCGCGGCAGCTACCGGGGCCGCTTTCGGAGCCTCCGTTTTGCCACCTAGAGCTCCCCGCCGCGCCCCCGGCGCACCGCTCACCTGCGTGCCGGGCCCGGCGGTGCGAGGGCCCGGCGGAGCTCCGAGGGGCCGGCGCTGTGTGAGCCGGGCTGGCGGGGCCGAGAGGGACTGTGAGGGGCGGTGGGCCCCGCCCGCCCACGCGCAGCCGCTCCTCGAACCCGCCAATCGCCGCCGCGCGCGCCCGGCCCCAGGGGCGCGGCCGCCAACGGCCGGAGCGGCCGCATCGTTCGCACGGACCAATGGCGGGCGGCGAGCTCGGGGCGGGGCGGGGCCGGAGCCGCGCTCGGGGCGGGGCGGGGCCGGAGCCGCGCTCGGGGCGGGGCGGGGCGGGGCCAGCACCGACCTCTGCAGCGCAAGTACGCTGTCCGGCCGAACGGGAATGGAACGGCCGTGCTGCTGTACTGGTAGCCATAGGAAAGCGAGGCTGCAAGTTCGCCTCTGCCGCCTCGAGCAACTGCACAGAAGGTGAAACAATGCATTTTATGATGCTAGGCTGCTAATTAATTGCATTTTATCTGATGCACGGGGACGAGAATTGGGAAAGAAGTTTGTGATCTTTTTCTAGAGCATAGGCTAAAGAAACTGTTTAGAGTAGTGAGAGAAAGGGATGTGAAAAACAAAGTTCACTCTCTAGAATTTTTTTAAGTTTAATAAGGGAATAAAAAGGGGCATTCTGGGGTGTTTCTGTCTATTGGCCAAAGAACACGCCGGTAGATTAAGACAGTTATCTATATACTGTTACATTACTAAGGGACATGCATATTCCTGTGTTCATACATTATTCAGACATTCCTGTGAGCTTTTTGAAGTTCAGGAACTCTTTTGTTTGGTTTTACACTGCGAGTTATATGCGTGAGATCCGATGGGTGGGGTCAATATATTTTATTTCTTCTCGTGTTTCCATCCTGTTGTTTCACACTCCCTGATAAGGAGCTAAAAAGCTCTTCTCCAATTCTTCTCCGGTGCTCTGGTTTGTGTCACTGTTATCACTAGGAGAGGCTGGGCAGCAGATGTGAGGGAAACAACATAATTACCTTTTAGCTATATAGGAGCATTTTAACATTTCCTGTGTTGCTAAGGCTTACGATGTAATATCTTCATCACATTACTATTTCTATAAGCTATACGGTGCAAAACTAATAGATTGTGTTACACTAATAAGCACCTAAAAGGAGTTACAAATTGTACCATATCCAAATACTCATGATCAATAATAACATGTAAGAGCTAATACATAAATGTGAAAGCCAATATTATATTGTCATTTTTAACGGGGGGGAGGGAGGGGGCGGGAAAGGGACTGGGGGATTTGTTTGGGTGTTTTCAGCCTGAGGTTGAACTCTAGTACCACCTGTGGCTCTTCCCAAGTGTTTTTGTCTTTACCACCAGAGCAGGACTAAGGAGCAAGGACAGGTAGCTAGCAGCAGCTGCTGTTCTTGATACTTTTGTCATTTGTGTCTTATTTCCTCCAGCAGTTAATGCAGACTTACACTAGTGCAAAGAGGGAAGCATCTATGTCGGTACGATTGTTCTAAAAAAGCTACAGTAGAGAGATAATTAAATATTGATTATATAGATAATTAGGTATTATTGTCATGTATATTTGAGTATTAAAAAATATTAATCATACATTCCAGATTTTGATCCATGCAATGGTAAAAGCTCTGTCCACAACTGGTAAAGCAATGGCATTGATATTCTACACAAACTGGATATGGAGACTACAAAAAAGTGCAAACTGTCAGACTGGATGAAAGCCCAAATGAATAATTCATTTTCAGATGCATTAGGCTGCAGCACAGATGTAACTGAAGAGGAAGATTACTTAGTTTATGATGGAGATCTAGGAATAAACTGTAAATATAACAATAATTCAGATAATCTGAATGCCTGTAGTTGTACAAAATACATTTCTGGTATTTTAAACTTAGCCTGTTCTGAAGATAACAAAAACATAAAAGCAGCAGCCAATTATGAAACTCCTCTACAGCCTGAAGAATTCTCCAGTCATCAAAGAGGCACAACTGGAGCTCCAATTGAAATGCCTGGAAGTGAAGCTTCCTTTAAGAAGGAATTACCTGTTGGTAGTTCCAGTAAACCAGATAGCAAAGAACATATAACTACCTCCAAGATGTCCAATGTCCTCCTGCGTCATTTTTCTAGGGGAGAATTACTAAGCACATGCCACTTAATTGAACGTGAAACAATACCAGAGATGTCCTTTACTGAAAGTATCGATGACACTGGGAGCAAACCTGAGCCTTCAGAACACATCAAAGGCCCTCTAGTGCATGAACAATGGGCAATGAGCTCCGAGGAGCATCCATTAGAAAACCACGAAGAAGTAAAGGCTCGTGACAAAAATGGAAACCCGTTAAATGAAAATAGATCTGTTTCAAAAAAACATGTTTTTTCTTCTGGTCAGTGTGGGTGCCGACAAGAATATTCACAACTGATTAATGAGACTGGAAGTACACAGAGCTTTCAAAACATGAAAGATGAGAGAGCCCTGTTTAAGAAAACAGTTTCACCTTGTGAGCTCAAATATGGCCAAGGGCAAGCTCACTATTGCCTTCCTAACTTCTCTGAAGTTGCAGTACTGAAAAAACTTGACAATATCACCTCAGTTCCTTCAACTGAGAGAGTAAAACCCTTTCCTATTTTGCTAAATAAATCATTAACTGTGAACAACATTTTGGAAAATAAGAATTACTTCAATTCTGCTGAAGTAGACAATCAAGAAGAAAGGAGTATTTCAGAACTGCTGCAACAGCTTCAGGTAATTTGGATGTTTGAAGAAATTCTTCATCCTGGATAAGAGTGGTTTATTGTAAGATATTCTGTATCCCATAAAATCTAACATGAATAGCTCTATAGGCACCCTGTAGGTATATCAGTGAGTACCTCACTTGACTCAAAAACTGCTTTAACAAATAAAGTTCTGTGGAACTGACTTTATACAGAACTGTCATTACCAATTATCTAATGGCTGAATATTATTTAATACTCCAGTATTTAACACTGGAGCACTGTTTGTGATGATAAAGCATCCTATCAAATCATTAGGAAATCCACTGTAAATTGTTATTGCTTGTGTTATCTTTAAATGTTGAAATTCACAAAAAATACTTCAAATACATTTTTAAGAATAATGTTCTATTTTTATATTGTGCCCCTGTTAAGATATCTTTGTCTTTTTTCACATCTAACCCTCTTCAACTACCGAGACTGATATTTATTGTCAAGTCAATTCTTTCTAAAGGATTTTTTTGACAACAATATATTTCTCTTACTGTAGTGAATTTATTTTAAAGCTTGTTAGTAATTAGACAACCACTGCTCAATTTCATGCCTTGACATGGAGCTCACTCACTGAGCTTTACAGATTCTTAATTCCATTCCTAGATTTACATCTTAGTAAATTGCTTGAGATACAAGTTTTAATAGTTTTCCATATTACTTCCTGGCTGCAAATGAGATGCTGACATAGCATGCTGACCATCTGAGGTTTAATCCTAAAGTAAATCTCTCAAAATACATTTTTTTTCCAAGTCATTATTTTTTACCTCTAGAAGTATGACTATCCCCTAAAACTGTTTTGTCACCTTCACGTTGTATTTCCCATTTATACAAATCCTCTGTATTTTTACAGCAGAGCAGAAGTATTTGAAGTATTTATACAATGAAACACTTCACACATCCATCAACTCAGAAAATTAAGTGGTACTGTTATAATAAACATTTTGTTAATATTTTGTATTTTGAGTTAAAGTGTTTTGTCCAGGTCCCTAAGTGTTCTGTACATTTTATCTATAATGAAGGTTCTCATTTTAACAGGTACTTCCTCAGTCAGACTTCGCAAATGCTATTTCCTCAGGACACACTAGGACACCACCTGATGTCATCATGTTACATGCTCCTGTCCCTGTGCAACCTACACATGGTTTGCTTAAAGCAAGTAAATAAAATTACAGTAACTATGCAAATTACTATTTAATGTAATTTGATTACACTTTTGGGCCAAAATTGCAATTGATCAGTCTTACTTTGTATTCCATAGGACTGCAGCCTGGAACAGCACTACCAGCAGCTGGGACAGTAGAAGCACAGTGTCTAAATCCTTCTGATTCACTGCCAGAACTAACACTAGGAGAAAAGATGTCTCAAATACTAAAGGATCAGACAGAGCAACTGACTAAGAAAGTAAGAGCTCTGTTTCAATATATACTTTGCACTGATGCTCAAATCCCATACTCACTTGGCAAATTTGTTTAAATATAATACAAGTCTAATATTTTGTCTTGAAGGTGGAAGACTTCTCTAAGCATATGATCCAGGAAACACACTTTTTGCAAGACAAATATCTGGTAAATTAATTTATGTACTTTGAGCTATCTGAAATGGCTGTAGACTTACAATTTTCTGGCAAGGTGCTTGATGTTTACTTCAAATGGTTGTTTACCCTTCTCAATTCAGACTGAAGGTATGACATTGGGAAACAAAAATAAAGGTGTTCAGCAGGTGGATGAATTCTTAAATCTTCTAAGGAATCCAGCTTAAAACTATTAATACAAGGCCTGAAGTTGCCATTTTAAGTTAGGAATTTTGACATGTAAGATATCAGTTCAGAAATAATTTTTAGTATTTTATTCAGACATAATAGAGCAGCACAGAGTATTCGGTGAATATAACATATGCAGTACTGTTTCAATTCAGAGAACTACCAAAATTCTTAACAGCAGTGCAAATAACATCTGGCTTACATAGCAAGACACAGTGATAGCTACTTATGCTAAGTTACTATGACATTTTGTATTGAATTATTTCTTATTAATGAAGGCATTAAATCAACTGAAAAGATACCTTGATGCCTTGGAAAGAAATTATTTAAAAGCTAGAGAAGAGCACCACAACTTACAGCTGCAGAACTACAAGGACAAGCCTATCAACCTTGGAGAGTTTGATCCTGAGAGGTTAGACAAGAAATGCTAAGTAGTACATCATTATATCTTCTGTGACTGTCTTACAGCTTTTACTTCATTTATCCATTAGAGTTTCCCTGATGTGAAAATATTATCTTAATGTGGTAAACTAAAAGTTGTTTGGCCAAAATTCACCTTGGGCTTTATATATCCTACTTGTAATTGGGATGTCTATTTGATTAATTCAAATACTTAAAAGGGACTCTCCAACTCCATACATTTTGTTTTTTCCTATGGGAAATGTACTGCAATGTCCATTATGATTATCATGGTAAGAAATAAGAGATTAGTTTAGAGAGTTTTAAGTAACTGTGGGTTGTGATTGGATTTAGAAGGGTGGAAGGAGAGATATTCAGACTTGGCACGCTGCTTGAAGACGTTCAAGAACGAATCGATGGCAGCAAAGGTGGCCTTTCATCGTTACTGACTTCCTATCAATCTGCCCAGTCTTTCTGTGAGGTAACTGACTTTTATTAAAGACAGTTATTCTGTTTTATTGATAGAAGTCTTGAGAACTTAAGTGCAATTGTGTGATTGTATGTTCTGCTCCAGTAAGATCATGATGCTTTTAGATAGCACATTACTTAAAAGGAAAATATTTTAATGAAATGTTAACTACATAATATGTAATTAACTGTAACAGAAACCTAGGTAGAAAAACACAACTATATGTCCTTAGTTCCAGTTTCAAAAGCATTTATTTCACAATAAGAAAATATGAGTAGCTCATTTAACTTCTGCAAAGTTGTTTTGGGGAATTAATCACTATCATTTTGTGGGAGGAAAAATGACTTTGTCCAAGATCGTAAGCTGCAGAATTACTAGAAGACCAAACAGAATTGTGCAAGAGAAAATTGAGTTTACTCCTAAGAATGGTAATATTTTCTCCCAGATCATAAATATACATACACACTCCCCCCTCCAAAAAAAAAAAAAAAATTTTACTGCCTTCTACAAATCTACAGGTAATTCTCAAAAAATGCTTTCAAAATCAATGTTTTAGGTAACCTGGGCTTCAGAGAAAAACGGTAAGAGAACCTAAGGAGATGCTTTTTGGTAAGAGTCATTCCTTGCAATGCAAGGCCCACATACACCTGTGTCTGTGCTTTGTTACTTTGTACAGAGCTCAGCAGTTTCAAGCACTGCTGATTTTCCACAAAGAAGAGGTACTGAAACTCCATTTTTTCACAAGAACTATGATGGAGAAAGAAATCAGACAACTGATGTAATCCCACCAACAAATCAACTTTCTTTAGAAGGCAAAAAATGCAATCTTTGTCTTCACATGTAAGTGAAAACTTGGAAACAGCTGTTGAAGTTTTTACAAAAACATACATAAAAATAATTGCTGAATAAGAAAATTCAGATGACTGAAATCTCTGAAAAGCAACATGAATATTTCCAGAGTAAAAATTCTACTGAATTATATAACTATATTCTATTCTATATCCAAGAATTCCTCCTAGCCTGGTCTTCCTACCTTTCTTAGTCTAAAAGTATTTCCTGAAGCCAAAACACCACCATCACTTTCACCTAGGAGTTACATCATACTTCTGTATAAAATTCATGACAGGCACACAAATCCAGGATGTGAAGTCACACAGTCAGAGTACAGTGCCAGTAAAAGATATTTTGCCAGTACTTGGTATTTTTAATTAAACAAGAAAATAGAGGGATGCAGATCATTACATAATTAACGATCAAAACCTTGTGAAAACTCTAAACATCATCTCCACCCCCCTGAGAATCATTTTATAGGTGTTAAACATCTCAATGAGATTAGAAAAATAAAATAAATGGTCTCTCCTTAATCAGTCTAAGGTTTAAAAAAAGGAGAACTGAACTAAATTCCAGTAGAGAAACACAGCTTCTGGGAAAAGAATGCATGCAGTATACAACACAGTCATATTAACCTAATTCTGTCAGATTATTCTACAGGGTAAGTGTTAATAGTTGTCTACTAAAACTCACCTAGCTTCCACTTTCTTCTCTGTCATTGAAAGACTATTAGTTCAATCTTCTGATTATTATGAACATGAATGAGCAGAAAATTTTCCAAATAAACTTAATGATCCTATACACCCAAAGATAAAAATACACATCAAATAACTCTAACAAGGAACCTTGTTCTTTTTCTTTCAGAAGGTACATCTCAAATATTCCTCCAATTATCTAAAGGCATTAAATTAAAGCCTTAATAATAGCTCAAAGTTACTAAGAAACCAAATAGTATTTAGCATACGTTGCATCAAAACACTATCAGTTGTAACGGATGTATCTAAGATTTCATACTATTTTCCTTTTCCAATACAGGATTATCAAGATATCTACTTTTAAGCATTTTTAACAGCTGTGGGAAGTCAGGGTGCTTTTGTCAGAATGTGTCCTTTAACTAAAGGGTTCATTATTTTTCAACTGGTTAATTATTAATTTAAGCTTCTGCTTACCACCTCTTCAGATAACTGATACAAGTAAAGTTCTTTCTGTGAATAAATCTTCTCAATTAAGAAGCAATTAATCATTAGTATAAGACATTTATAAGTTTCATCATAGAAATATTAAGATACAATTAAAATATTCTGTTTTCATGCTCAAAGAAATACAGACATCCCGGAAAGAAAAACTGGAACATCTCCACTCTTCATACAGAGAAAACCAACTGATTTATCAGATACCAACCTGAGTAAGTCATGAGGGCACACAAAGGTCAGAACTGTGCCTAAACCTGCTAGGGAATTCTCTGAAGAAACACATTCCTTTTATGTCTCAACATGAAAATTGTACTTTTAACACACATTACTGCTTAGCAGAGCACAAAACATTAAGAATAAAAAGAAAATTAAAAAGAACACCAGGTCAAATTCACTGTGGAACTTTCAGTGACAGACCAAGAGGTAACAGACAGGTTGCAATGCAATTTTCCGTCAGATATGAATCAAAGATTTTTAGCTTGGTCAAACACTGAAACAGTTTGCTCTAGGGAGGCTGTGGCATCTCCATTCTCAGAGATATTCAGAACTCAACTGGACAGGGTTCTAAGCAACTTCATTTAAGTTGAGCCTGCTTTGAGAGGGGACAGAATCAATGACCTCCAGAAGTCCTGTCCAACCTTAATTTCTCTATAAATCTAATTCAGCTTTCTAGATAAGTTTCCAAATACTGCCACTGCTAACTAACATTTTCAAGAGCATGACCATGACATACACACAATGCTTTGATTTTGCTTTTTCTTCTGATGTGCATTTATTTCATGTTCTAGAAGATTATTCTAAGCTTGACAATTGAGACACTTCATATCAATACTTTCAGTTTTTGGATTCAACTTCATTATTCTGCTTAAAAGCAATTTTACCTTTCCACTGCAGAATATTCTGAAGCTTTTAGTAACCAGCAACTAAAGGAGAATAGCATGAGCTGTCCTACATTCAATTTTAAGTCTGAACATACAGGTTTTCTTACCTTTTGTCTACCAGTTGTCCTTAACGTTTTTGTGATATCCTTTTAATTTAACATAATACACTGGGATTACTGTTTGTACTGGTTGGTGCAATAGTTAAAGCAGTGCCATATTAGAGCTGCTCAAATTCTCATCCCATTCCTATTATGCTGCACTGTTTTCGTAACACCATGGACATGGGGAGATGGAGAACTTCATTAAAAAAAAACACAAACAAAAAAACCAAACAACAATTCTTGAAATTGAGCTGAAAATAAGCACCACCAGGAAATTACATTCAAAGCTTGCAGACAGGGCTGAAAGCTAATCCTGAGTTCAATCCCCACTCTCCTGGGGGTGAAAAGTACTTCTTCAAATTGCAGTAGCATTAATGGCAGCAAAAGGCTCTGAAATTACAGTGCTGAAAGCCAAATAATTACCTGAATACATTAGCCAGAGCTTCTCATATTTCTGACCCTTTTAACTTATTTCTTGAATTTTAGGCAGCAATTCAGAAGACTTCTCAGCCTGTGATTCTTATAATGATTCACAAAGCAAGGACCTTGTCAACTGTGACACTCTAAGTTACAAATCATTAAATACAAGATTATGTGGAGAGAGAAAAGGTACAGTGATTGCAAAAATATGAACATCTACAAGGAAACACTGCTTGTAATTTTGTTTTTCTAAACCACACATCTTTGTTTCCAGGACTTAGATGTAAATGCCCCAGGGGAAGCAGAGATCAAGTAAAACTCAGGAATTACAAAGAGTCTGTTCAGTCTTGTACCTTATGTAGAAAAAGCAGCTCTGGTTCATCCTGTAAGTATGATGTGTAATTAACAAACACTGGCTAGCTTTTATGGGGCAGAAAGCGACATTGCACGTACCAGACCACATTTAATTTAGTATAAGCAGTCATTAGCACTGTAAATCCAACTTTTACACACCTGGCCAATTTTAATCTCCATGCACTACAGATTTAACTTTCCCTGGTTCTTTATGAGAGGAATCCCTTTCATATTTCATTTACAGCAGGAATATCTCATTTTGCAGAGCCACATGAAAAGATATGAAAATTAGGCATTACAGTGCCAACTTTTATAGTGCCAGCCATTACCTAATATAGTATAAACAAGTGCTAAAGAAAATGAGCTCTACACTCATATCATGTGACATGCAGCAAAGTCAAGGAGAGCCTAATTAAAAAAAATTAAATGTTGATCATCTGAACATGTACCTTTTAAAGTCACTTAGACTCTCTAGCATAAGAAAAATATAACATTTCATCAAGAAGAAAGTATAAATTAGTTATTTGTCTCTTGCAATCCTGTGAAACTACAAATCAAAGTAGTGTTCATGTAATTATTAGGATTATGACACTGGCTATTGTACACTTCCCCACTGCTGTCTTTCACTGTATGAAACTGAATATAAATCTCCATTCCATTTGCCAACTAAACTCAAGAGCAAGCACAAAAAGGTTAATCTGTCCTCATTTACAAAAAACTTTAAACATATTCCAGTTTTATTCAGCAGTGATAGTTACTTGATCTTTAATTTATGCTAAAGAGGAAAAAAAAGTTAAAATACACAGAAAATCGCCTTTTTTTTTTTTGTTTTAAACATGACCTCAACAACTCCAGCTTATTCAAAAAAGAGAATCTCCACCCAGAAGACTCAAAAAACCAAGCAGCCAGGTGAAGCTGTAACCAGACTTCGTGAAAGGTAAGCTGTAGTAACAACTACATAGTACAACAGAAAACACCGCTGTTGAAGATTCAGCACGGAAGAAACACACCAGGTATCATAACCAGGAAGGATATTTTCTCTTTCACAGTGCATGTTGTATATTAGAATTTTACTCTTTAGTGAAATTAAAATATTTACTGTAAAAACATGTGTAAATAATTCTTAGATTAGTTCTTCACACCTAATTTAATGAAGAGCAAAAATGTAACTTCTTTAGCTTACACATTTAATAATGAAAACAAAAATTTATTTTAAGATGATGTTCCCATTCAAAGATTCAAAAGCAAGCCTATATTATAAGGATACAGCTCTGTTTGCTGCCAAGTATTTCTCTATAAGTAACAGTCCTACTTTTAATTGTTGTTAACATTAAATTACACTGTGGGACAGAAATAAAATGGATTCCTAACTGGTACTAAAATGCAAACAGGTCTTCTCACAGTATTTCTGACAGCTTTACTCAATAGCAGTAATTGCCTGGAAGTACACCAGCTGCACTTGAGAATCAGTGGTATAGAACACTGTCAGAGAAAGTTACAGCAGCAGCAGAGTGCTGCTATTATGAGAAATTTCCTTACTCTGCATCCTAGAGCATCTTCTGTCTTACTGCAATGCAGATAGAAAACAAATAAGGATGGACTGTGCTCTACAATTCAATGGAAAATTCTACTCACAGTAAAATTAACTTGCAACTGAGTGCTATCATGGTGCATGTATGTAATTCATAGTTTAGAAGTTCTTTTTCTTACTTAAATTGTATTTTATTCTATGTATCTTTAGGAAATCCTTTGAGGCTGCCAAAACCTGCTGTTCAAGCACATATGATAAAATTATCCTTTCACATCAATACCTACCCAGTAAGAAATCTGTCCAAAGAAAATCTGCAATCAACATCAGAAACACCAATGATTCCTATGTAAATGTAAGACTTTTGAGTGAAAATTAAAAACCACACAACTTTCTTGAAAGGATTATCTCCCTACATCATGGCACTGCAGAACATCCCATTCTTAGCAAACTGATTACTACAATCTAAGCATGTGTAGTGCATTTGAGGGTAAGACTAGGGAGTTCAAACCCAAAGCATTTTGGCTTATGTGTTAGTATACTACTTCATACAGGTATGTACAGGCTTGTTTTGCAACTTAGTCCCTGTATAAATGGTGAAACAGACCAAAAAATAGCATGGGATCTTATCTCTAGAATTATGTTTCATATACTGAAACAAAGCCTAGCTAGACAAACCACTATCAAAACCTCAAGAAAGCCTTCTCAGGACCAAAAACATGCACCATGCATCAGTGAAGCGGATACATTAGAAATGTGTAAATGTCCCTCAGTTCAAATGAATACACAGTCAAAGACAGAAATAATTAACAGATACTTCCACCTTGAATCCTAGAGAGGTCTATCACATCACTCAATTTTTACTTCTCAACACATATTCAGAGCAAAAATCCTAGACAAAACCTTAAACATCACCTTTTTCCCAGTGCCTGTGCATACATCTCCCTTCACTATTAACAAGAGTACGTTATTTCCAACAGGTTTTAACTTCTACTCTGGATCATGCCATAGAGACAGCAAACAGTTTGAAGAAAGCTACAGAGCGAATGGTACAAGCAGTTTCAGAAGATCTAGCTAAAGTTAAAAGAAAACCATTTTAATTATCTAGTTCAAATGCTATATTGTTCTGGTGGTTCATGCTGTTAGTAGCATGTTCAAGTGTTAGTATCTCTGCAAAAATAAAATCATGAACACAAACATGAAAAAGTCAGCTAATTAACTTTGTCAGCTGTTCTGTACCTATTAGTACTAAACCAAACTAGAGCATATAGGTATTCCGTGTTTACACTCAGTCTTAGAACTGTAAAACAAATTATTAATTCTACTGAAGATCTTTAGGAGGTTGGCTGATCCCCATTACTGTGCACAGATACCTTCTCGAAGTATTCACTTAAGACAGCTTAACAAAAATTGGCTTAAACACACAAAATTGACTTTCAGACTTGTATTTTCTCCCCATTCCCAAAGTGTGAGAATAAACCTCAGTCATTACTACATATCATTTCTTCCCATACTTCAACAGCAGCTGCTTAATCACACCAAGAGAAAACAGCCTCTGTACCTGACACATCTAGAAGCAAACATCATGTTAACATACCAAGTCATAGTCAACATTTGGAATTATTTTGGTTTTAGGGTGCCCTACATTGTTTAAGAAACATCCTTGCCTGTTGCAATGTCTGAGTTACACAGTTTGTTGTTCATGTGCTAGGAACAATTAAATTGGTTCCTTCAATGTGATGTCCTTAACTTCTCAGATATATCTGGCTTTGACATTTTAGCTGATAGTAAGTAGCTTGGAAAATTTTTAAATACTATAGAAATTCAGTGAGCCAAGAAAAGTCATCTATTATTTTCCTTCTAACATCCATTTAATTGAAGTGATTAAAGGCAAACAGTAAACAGCCTTGTTTTATCAGGAATGCTATTCACTGAAGGCAAAGTACATAAGGACTGATGAAAAACAAATTAGAAATGGCAGTACATGCCTTAAAAAGGACAGTAATTTTCAGGCAAACCTGAGCAATTTCATCAGTGGTGGATACAGAAATAATACAGATTGTTCACACAAGCAGTGACAGCTAAACTCACTGCCATGTGCCACTTACTCACTAGCCTGAGTCAACAGCTTTTTTTAGGGTCTCTTCCACCCTTCACAGCAAACAATATCATTCAACTCTTATCCTCCTTAGCCTCTTACTGTATATCCTTATAACTTCATTTGCCTCTGCTTATTATCCCTGATTTTGCTTTATTTAGTTTAATGTTTGGAATGTCCCCATTATTTGCAAAAGAACTTAATAAATTAAGTAACTACTGTAGCTTCCTAAATGCAATAAAGATTCATCTCTCACAGAAATCTCTCCACATCACAAGAACAGCTTGTTCTACACCTTTTGTTTATCCTGGATCCCTGCACCCGCTGTCCTGTGCCTGACAGCAACTGCCTAAGAAAGAGCAGACTGAATAGGACAATCACATAGCGATATTTCCTCAGAACATTCTCTGACAAATTGAAAACCCAGAAGCCTTCCAAATCAGCAGTAAAATTTATATATATTAGCCCTACAAATACTTGTCTTATGTTGAGGATATTTTTCCTCATATAATAATTTAGATTATGTCATTACTGCATGACATCTTGGATATTAAAGGTCCTTTTGTTCTGATTTGACAGCTGCAGGTTTCATGTGTTACTTCACATACTGATTAGAAAGATAATCTTTCAGTCTGAATACTAACAGGATTTCTATGGCTTCCATCACACACTCCACCATCATCTTTTTTCCCCTTGATCAAGGGGAAAAATGTCTAGACATTCTTGACATGAAGATTGTTCCATACCTTTGATTTTCCTTAGTAATTTCTGAATCTTGTCCAGATTTCCAGATTCAACTTTAAAAAACAACTGCTGGGCCCACATGTAGGATAAGGTAAGTATTTTAATATGCATAACATGAAAATATGAACTTTCAAAATTATAATATACTTTGTACATGTACTCTGAAAAACTAAGTTTTTGTTTATCCTGACAATTTTTTCCCATTCTTGATAATATGATTCTTGATCTAGAAAAAATATAGCAGAGAAGATCCTTGGGAAAAAAACCCAAATATCTTGAATAGAACTTCCACTTACCCCCTTCATAAGCTGTTTTGAGCTACATATTGGTGCAAGATGTCCTATCATAAAGCATCTTTATTATTCCACCTTTACAGTAACATTTGGCTTTGCTTTGCCTGATGGAAAAAGAGGATAAGGGATACAAAAAAAAACCAGATTAAGACTTTTGAGTTATCAGCTATCAGGCTGAGCTGGTGATAGGCCTGAAGCAAAGACAAAAAAGACTACTCCTGAATATACATAAGTAATCCAGAATTGTGAGCTTGTATTTCTTCAACTCTATGAAATTAAAAAATATCAACACAATTTATTTCAGTAGTATATAAAATCCATTATTTCAGTCCTTAACTGTAACACTAATATCTGCTATTTTCTTCTGTACTTAACTACTTTCCAGCTTTAGGAATTGGAAAAGAAATTGCACCTACATATAGCTGTTACAACAAATTTGGGATCTTCTTGCCAAAGGTGTAAGAAATACATATAATTTTGGTGTAATTTTTCAGTACTAATTTCAAAATGTGCATATTTTATAGGACAACACTGAACACAGCATTTCTTAGATAAGTATTTTTACTCTGGATTTCTACAGTGATAGTGTTATAAACTAGAATTCACAAAACCAACACAGATATTTCTGCTGCATTTTTTAAGGTTGTGATGTACATGGTATTTGATGAACCAGATGATTTAAGTGTTGCTCTGTAGTCCCATTGAAAAAAATTGTCAGTGTAGATTCAATTCCAAACTCATTCAGGTGCATTTGAAAGCTACTTATTCTCATCATTCCCCATGTCCTGCAACATTTCCGAATCATTATGTCACATTCTCCCCTTTCATTCCTCTATGATGTAGGGGGAGAACTTGACCTTTTTCCACCTTCTAATTAACTCTGAATGAACTCATCTAACAAAAACATTCTCTTAAAGTACTGGTTAACCTGAGAGCAAAAAATAAAGGGAAAAAATCCAAAATCACAAAACAAAAAATAAATACTCATCATTGGAAATAAGGTAAACAAAAGGACATAAGTAATCTATTTTTTCATTATTACATTTCTCTTGGATTCTACATACAACAAACTAATATTTCAAGACACATAAATACAACAGCCCTTTAAAAGATCAGTAATTTGAATTAATTTTTAAAGAGAAATCTAAACATTACCAGTATTACAGAACTCATACAATTTGAATTTTATTCTCTTCAATGCAAATTTAAGTATTTATTTCTTAGTATGTAACAAAATTTTTTAAAAAGTAAATTCTCTTGAGTACATCAGATTTTGTCATTTTGTTTGCTTTTTGTTTTTCTTTTCCAAATGATCAAGCCCTTTGAAAGACTGAGCTGCTTCCCTTTTTGTCCTCTCCTTTCCCCTTGCCTCCACTTCTTCAAAGAGACATGCTTAGTTTTGGAATTTCTGTATCACAGGCAATTCAACTTATGAAAGAGACAGACTATATAGACAATGATAAGGAATTTGCTAAGAAATTAACTTTTTATAAAAGCTTCAATAATAATCTCTGTATATACTTAAATATAAAGTGTACTTCAGTGCACAGTCAACAGCATTTCTCCAAAGTTATTTACTGTGATTGGAACTACTCAATGGTTCTGTGATTAACTATCTAACTTAACCAGCACCATCTAAAAAGCCTTTAGATTTTTCACAAATACATGTATTTAAAGAATTTTGAGCAAGTTATTTTTACAGAAAACATTACACTTTAAGACACTCAACTTATATGGAACATTATTACCATAAATCCATATTTACAAGTTTCCTCTTGAAGTCCCTACCCAAGAGCCTAGGTCCTTTTTAATTCAGTCATTTTTATAAATAAATTGTATTATAGAAAGCTTTCACAGTTCTCAAAGACAAGTCCAGTTTCTATATAATTACAATGACTTTTAGCAAAAATCAGTTAGGAAGAAACATGCCATTTTGAAAAACCACTTGTAGTGTAATACTAAATAGAACCTAAGAAACACACATGTTTATCTTTTCATCTCTCTGCCTTCTACTCCCCCAAAAGCAGCAAATTTAAATTATAACATGGCCTCCCATTCGGATCCATGTAGTATTGAAGTGCAGTATTTGGAAAAGTCAGTTCCATTAGAATATGTACACACTGTTCGTGGTTTTAATACATCATAAACATAACCATATTTATTCATCCTTAATGCGGACCATATCCTTGGGTTTACTAAGGCTCTTCACTTCCTCCAGTAGTCTTCTAGGTGTCAAAATATGAGTAGAACCTGACAAAAGAACATAAATATGAACTGTATCAGCCAAATTCTGACTTTCAGACACTCCCTCTTTAAAACATCAGTTACATGCCAGTGTTTTTCACTGCACCCAGACAACGGAGAAGCACAGCACTTCACACTGTTTTCATATAAAGCACCATCATGTAAGTGTCACCATTAGGTAGGCAATGTCCCTCTTCCCAAACTCAGACATCCGATCAGGACTCTCACTTTGAACACAAATTTCAAGTCCTGCTCTGCCCTGTTTGAAAGACAGGACTGAATCTGGACAATTGTCCCAGCCTGCAAGAAACCTGCCATTCTGTGAAAGAGTGAGTTAATGAGAGGCTTTACCCTAGAATCAAGAAACTCTCTGTATTCAAGGTTATCACAAACAGTAGTGTCCCACAGAAATACGTTACAGAAAATTGCCTTTTATTGACTAGCATTTCCTTGAAAAAACAAAATTCAAGCTTGAGCAGCAAAGAAAATCCTTATTATTCTTCAATGCACAACTACCTCTCTTATTCTCACAGAGTGATTATAACTTCTGCCATGAAGGGTCACCCTGCAGTTCTGAAGGCAACAAGTAGTGTCACTCTGAATGGGCTACTATTCTTGGAGTTCTGAATCAGGAACACAGCCAAATGTCAATCTTTCGATAATCCATGTGGAAATTTTGCAACTATCACCTTCCCTCAGAAATCAGGATTACAAAGAAAAA